GAAGCACAGATGATGTCATGATGAAGCACAGATGATGCTGCGTCTGGATGAATGTGTTCCATCACGGTAAATATTCTGCAGCCTGAAGAGACGCAGCCACATCCACCAAACTGCATGTGAACATCTCAGAGCTGCTGTGAAATATGTCGTTTGCTTCAGCTCTTAATTGCACTAAAAATGAAGATTAAGAGGATGAATTATTGATACAAGTTGGTATTTAATCTTTTGTAATGAATAGTGGATCCGCTGGTTATAAATATTGTACGAGGTTTCATAATTTGATAAATTTATTCCAATTTGCCCTTTATTTTGCCCTTTAGTCAAGGTTACGTTCATTTAAACACACACGTGTGTCGACTCACGACTGCTGCACTGAAAGCAGACGCACAGCAGCGACGTGAGGAGCTTCTGGCCTCCGCCAGGCCTCGATCTGCTGCTTTCAGCTGCTCTCAGCTGCACAGACACAGAAACAGCCGCCCTTGGTTGACCTTCAGTGGCAGCTCAGTGTCTGCGGCTGTAATTAGATCGAGCATCTGATTGTCATTAAAGAGCTCCAGCAGATAATGAACACACAGTTTTACTGCACAAGTCATGACGTATTTCCTCCATCGATGCTTCACACGAGGAGCTGCGACACACTCAAAGTTCTCGATGGTAGGACCCTGAATCCTCTGCAGCTCCAGCACCGGTCCTCCCAACGCGCAGCTTTAAAATACGAGCTCACGGAGCTGCATTGGTGGAATGAAGTCAGGTGTTTCTGTCATGGTTCCATTTTCTCTGACTCTCGACATAAACCCTGAAACAACACGGTCCAGGGGAAGGGTTCGGGTCAGGATCCAATCAGCTGTCTGACGCTGCAGACGTGAGCTTTGATCAGCTGGTGACGTTTCATGGACCTGCTCAGAACCTCAGTATGAACCAACAACCCGCTGGTACAGTAGAGCCACTGAAACCAGCTCAGAGAACCAGAACCACCCGCCTTTGATTTAGACTCTGATGTAGAACTT